ATGTATGTGGGTATATGAATAACGACCGCTTAAAATCGATTTCAAAGTTCTACTTTCGCTGTAGAAATTTTAGGTCTACGTTATGTAGTTTGACTATTGTCAATTAAATCGAATGCTTTGTATTGCATGCGCTCCACGCTTTTCATTTTCAATTTCATAGATTGTTTATAATGACTTTTGCTAAAATTTCAAAATCAAAAGTTATCAAAACAAATTCTATGGGACTGAGAAGTATTATTTTCTACTTTTTAGTCCATTTATAAAAGCGTTGTATATTAAAAAGTTTTTTTATATTATTTATTTTTTATAAATAAGGCCGTGAACATTTCCTTACATCGTCAATTTCCATATTCTATTTTTACTCTTTCAATTTCACTGACCAGCGCCGCAAACGATATCAACTAGTAGGCTAACAACCAGAATTGAAATTTAATACGCAAGTACTTACAGTACTACAAGTATACAGAGAGTAGATTTTCTACTCCCTTTTGGCAGCAGCAAATATCTCTCGTACGCGATGCGAGAAAGTAGAGTACCTACTTTGGTGGAGTAATAGCAAGCATGAACCAACTAACAAGATCACGCAATCGGAATAGAATGAAAAAAGTAAATTTCTGAGCGTTTTTGACATCTGCCTAAAAATGAAAACAAACAAAGAAAACGAAAAAGGCGCGGTTATTGAGTGCGACTAGATTTGTATTTATTATAAAAAATAAAAAGTGAAACTTGATGACAATTAGCAAAAAAAGTTCATAAAATATGGTTTTAATGATTGAGAGTGTTTTACAATCGCATATTATCGGCACCGGCCGATTTTTCAATGCCAACGTTCTGACCACAAATGTGCACCCACTTTTCACGCAAATTTACGCCTCTTGGCAAATCAAACAGACGCACAAACTTGTTCCAATCACAAAGCACTTCATATAAGGGGTATTCTCGAAGTATTGCACGATGCACGTATTGCACGAAATGCAAAAATACTATCCCAAATTTCGAAGAGTACGAGAGCACCCCATTGCAAAGTGGTGGAATGCATGGGTAGCAAGCAGCGAAATTATGTATCAAATACAATAACAAGAGACAGCAGAAAAAAATGAAGTGAGCGAGATGAGAGGAATGAGAGAAATATGTAGCAAATCCAACAACAAAACAACTAGCACAGGGTCGCATATATCTTGCTATGCTATTTTGCAAAATATATACATGGGTTTCGACGTTGCATATTTTGCAGCGATAGGAAATGTCGTTTCCCATGTATTTTGTTGTTGTGTGTTTGCAAGTTATGCAATCCATGCAATCCGTGCTACATGCAATGGCTTTGCAAGATTTGGAGAATACCCCTATTGTATCATAAATTTGTAATAAATCAAAATTTCTAATTAAAACCGCTGCAGAAAACACATAAAATCGCTAAAATATCACTACGAAGAGGTAGAAGACGATGTAAACAGAACCAAAAAACATCAAAAACGCTACGAAAACTTTTTTCTGAAAATCGATTACAAATACAACGATGGCGGATTACGTGATCTGTAGTCGTTGGTTCATGATAGCAAGTACGTCAAGTATTTACTCTCTCAACGCCAAGTAGAGTATGTATGCGGAAAAAGAGTAACAATGTGTTGGGAGTAGAGTACAATGCAAGGAGTACTTATTGAACGAAATGCGGCAAATACACTTGCGCTGGACTCTAATACACACTCAGCATTCCGCGCGAAACTATACGAAATAGATGCACAAACATTTTTGTCTACTTTGCTTCCATGATTCAACAATACAAGGTTCGATCAACTGACAGTTGTCTCTATCGCACCGCTCCCTTAGCAGCAGTGCGGTGTTGCTTCTTTGCAAATTTGCTTGGAAAAAGTGTAGCTTTGGTGTGAAATAGAAGTATAAGCTTTTGTGCATTATGCTTATTTGTATATGCATATGAAGCATATTTAACTGATAAAAACATAAATTGTTCTTAAATTGGATGTTTACATCAATCTTATAGTAGTTTTATTTTAATTTTGAGTCTTTTTGCTTTTATACAACTAAATAGCACATAAATTACGTAACTCACATAGTGTTGCGAAAACATTAATAGTAATACGAACCTTGTTATAAAATTCAGGTTAAGTTTAAAACCGCGTGTCTTTCCTTTCAGTCTAAAATTCAATAGAGAGTTTTATTACAAAACCATATTCAGTTTTACATTTCAGGGTTGCAACGCGTAAAAACAATTCAATGTTCAGTACAACATTACAGAGCTGCAAAAGTTAGTAAGAACGTAAATACTATACAATAATATTGAACATTCTCCGGCAGCAAAAACGAAGTTTTTAAGGTTCATCATGTCAGCGAGAAACAAGCTGGCTAAGTTACAAAACATCGGCCGTGGTGCCAGTGTTATCATTGATGGGCAGCGAACAAATTTTAGAAATCGGCCGCTTCACAAGTTTGCCTTTACAGAAAAGCGTAACGACCCTTACTAGACCATCTGCACCGGGATGTATCTCATGCACTCTCGCCAACGGCCAATAGCCAGGAGCGCTACGCTCATGTTGCAGCAAAACGATGTCGTTGACGCGAAGATTTTTTTGAACTTGTGTCCACTTGGTGCGAGTTTGTAGAGTGTGTAAGTATTCGTTAGCCCATCGATGCCAGAAATGTTGCTTTAGGCGCTCAACTAGTTTCCAGCGGGTCAGGTGGTCGATATTAGAGTCAAGCAGGCTCTCCTCTGAGACGCAAGTTGTGGGTTCACCTACAAGAAAGTGTGCAGGTGTCAACGCTTGATGATCAGTGGGATATGCTGACAATGGGCAGAGCGGCCGAGAATTCAAGCAACTTTCAATTTGTGCAAGAAGCGTGCTGAGTTCTTCAAAAGTAAGCACCCGATCTCGCATTATTCGTCTTAGATGATGTTTAGTCGACTTAACCGCCGCTTCCCATAAGCCTCCGAAATTTGGTGAAGCGGGCGGAATGGAGTGCCATGTCGTACCTTCATTTGCAAGTGCGGCAGCAAGATGTTCGGGGAGCGAAGCCTTTTGCTGCTGAAAGGAAATCTTTAGCTCTTTGTTAGCCCCTACGAACGTAGTACCGCAATCAGAGTATAAATCGCTGCATCGACCCCTCCTTGATATAAAGCGACGAAATGCGGCGATAAAGGCGTCAGTATTTAGGCTTGAAACTACTTCAAGGTGTATGGCCTTCGTGCACATGCAAATGAACAGGCAGATATAGCCCTTTGTGGTTGCCGCTTTGCGAAGTAGTGAAAGCTTTAGTGTTATGGGACCAGCGTAGTCGAGTCCACTGTGCTGAAACGGTTTAGTTGGTTGAAGACGAACTGCGGGTAAATTTCCCATTTGCTGCTGATGCACCTTCGCTGTGTATTTGAAACAGATTACGCATTTACGGAGCACGGATTTTGCTAAGCTGCGCGCTGATAGAATCCAGTAACGTTGAGAGACAAACGAAAGCATCTGCTGAACGCCGCCATGTAGAGTTTGGTGATGAGCGTCTGTGAATATTAGAAACGATAAAAACGATTGTTTTGATAATAACACCGGATGTTTGACGTCAAATGTAATTTTCGCCTTCGAAATTCTACCTCCGACCCTTAGCAAGTTATCACCATCCAGAAAAGGAGCTAATTGAAGAATTTTACTCTTTTTGTTAAGAGCTTGCTTATTTTCCAAACAATGTATCTCTTGGGTGAAGTCAATGCGCTGTACCTGCTTGATTATTATAGCGAGTGCGTGTTTAATCTCGCGTGATTTTAGAAAGCCCGTCTCACATAAATTGTTCTCTATTTTGTGTTGCTGCAGCGCTGCTCTTAAGTTATAATAAAAGCGTAGAATATACGCGGTGACGCGCACAAGCCGAGAGAGCGAAGAGAATTTACAAATAAAATCGGGGTCTTCCATAGAGTTTTCAGCTAACGTAGTTACGTGAGAAGCGATATATGATTTTCGCTCTTCTAAACAAGTTTCGAAAGTTAAGTTCTCGTGTGGCCAGTTCGATATTGGCCCAGTAAGCCAAGTCGGCCCAAACCACGACAAAGTATGTGCCTTAAGCTCTCTTGGAGTCAGACCGCGTGTTAAGCAGTCCGCTGGATTCTCGCTTGTACGCACGTGCCTCCACTGACTTACATCAGATATGCGCTGAATCTCAGCTGCGCGATTGGCGATGTACACGGACCAGCGCGTGGAATGGCATCGTATCCAACTCAAAACCACTGTGCTGTCGGTCCAATAGAAAACAGGTGCATCCGCGTGGAAGTAGGTTTTCACTTTCGCCATGAGTTTACCCAGTAACGCCGCCGCACATAATTCCAGTCTCGGAATTGACACAGTTTTGAGCGGTGTTACCTTAGTTTTTGACTGAATAAGTGATGCGTAAATAGTTGAGTTGTTATAGACTACCGCATATACAACTGCCCCATAGGCAGCCTGTGAGGCGTCACTGAAACCATGCAACTCAATTTTGTTAAATTTGTTGCATCCAAACCACCTTGGAATCTTTATGCTTTCGAGTTCATGCAGAGAATCTCGATACTGCAACCATTCAGCATTTAATTTAGTTGGAAGTGGGTCATTCCAATCTAGTCCCTCCATCCATAACCTTTGGAACATGATTTTAGCGATAATTGTGGTAGGCGCCAGCCAACCAAGTGGGTCGAATAATTTGGCCGCATCAGAGAGCATACTCCTCTTAGTTATTGCGGAAGCAAAACTAAAGTTGATTTTGAAAGAGAATTCATCTTCGTTCGTGTCCCAAAAAAGACCAAGGGCTTTTACGAGGTTCTCTGCCTTAAGTTCAATCCAATTGGCGTTCTCTTTATTCTCAGGTGGAATTGTTTGTAGCAACACGGCAGAATTTGAGTTCCACTTTCTAAGATTAAATCCGCCACTAGATGACAGCCTGCTGAGTTGTTGTTGTAGCTCGATTGCTTCCGCGTTCGTGTCTGCACCTGATATAATATCGTCAACGTAGGTATCATTTAAGTACACTTGGCTTGCGAGAGGATAATTTGTTTGCTCATCAGTGGCTAGTTGGCGTAGAACACGAATCGCTAAATACGGAGCAGAAGTTGTCCCATAAGTGACAGTGCAAAGTTTATATATTTTAATTCGCTTTGTAGAATCCTCTCGCCAGAGAATGCACTGATAATTTTGATGTTCCTTACAAACGTTGATTTGCCTAAACATTTTTTCTAAATCGGCTGTAAAAGCTATTTTGTGACTTCTCCATCGAGAAATAATACTTGACAAATCACTTTGCAATGCCGGCCCTGCAGCAAGTTCATCATTGAGAGAAGGTTGAGGGGGACAACGATTCCCACCGTCGAATACAACGCGCAATTTGGTGGTGCTGCTGCATTGCTGTAAGACACCATGATGGCAAAAGAAATATGAATTTTCTTGCAGATCTTCTGGATAAAAGCCGACTTCTTGCATGTGACCTAAGCTTAGATATTCTGCCATAAAATCTTTGTAAAGCTTTGCAAAGTTAGGTTGATTTTTGAATCGCATTTCTAGCTGCTTAAGTCTTTTAACAGCGTTAAAGTCAGTGCCACTAAATGCTGGGAGCTTACCCTGTGCAAATAGGGTTTTAAAGGGTAAGTGAACCGTATACCGGCCGCATTTATCCCGCTTGTAGGTTTGCAAAAAGTGGTTTTCGCAGGCTGTCTCTTCGGAAGAGAGCTGGCGCTCTTCGTGCAGTTCCTCCTGTTCCCAAAATAAACGAAGCTGATCATCTAGAGTACATAAATTTGTATGCAAAATTTGTTGTGAAGGAGTTGTAGTAGATGGACCAGAAATCATCCATCCAAAATGAGTTTCTTGTAGGAAAATGCCACGTTCGTACTTTTTCATGCCAGAGAGTAAGATATCGCCATATACATCTCCGCCTAAAACTAGGTCGATATTGACGGGCAAAGCAAAGGTTGGATCAGCAAGAAAAATGCCGGATAAATTTGGCATACCGCGCAAGTGATAAGGCGATGGTTTGTATGATGTCAATTTCGGCAAAATAAACGCGGTGCAGTCCATTTTAAAGTCTTTTTCATATTGTGAGCGCAAGCATAGAGTTAGAGACCTTTTAGCAATTAAAGCATTTGCTCCACCAATGCCCGCTACAATAACATTGGTATTTCGTTTTGGCAAGTTGAGCAACTGAGCGGCGTCCTCTGTTATGAATGAGGCTTGAGCGCCTTGATCAACGAGTGCTTTCAAGTGAAATTGTCGCTCAGGTGTTTCAATAATCACCCGTACAGTAGCGAGTAAGACTTGAGCGTTAGTAGTCGCAGAGTGCACTTCTGCATTCATAATTTGAGCAGTAGTTGTGAGATTTGCAGAAAGTTTGTGTTCGTCATTTTTATTGTTGCGAAGAGCGAATGCATTGTGAATAACAGTGTGGTGCGGCTGCTTACAGGCCTGGCAGCGGGAATTTCTTTCGCACTCACTGTATGTATGACCCTTACCTAAACAGTTTAGGCATAGCCTATGTTGTAGGACAAAGCTCTGCTTTTCAGCAGCAGGTAGTGCAGAAAATTTAAAACATTTGTACAAGAGATGTTGTTTTTGACAACAGGGACAGCTATAATTTGACGATGCTGAACTGGCGGTAGTAGTAGCTGCATTAGCATGTAATTGTCTGCGAGCAGGTTTGTGTTGTTTTTGTTTGTCGCTGTACGAGCGGTTCACAACCTTTTTTGATGTGTCCTCTTCTTCGATAAATTCAAGCGCTCGATAAGTAGTTTCGAGAAACTTAAGGAAAGTTTGTA